AACGAATAGAAAAAAAAAAAAAAAAAAAAAAAAAAAAAAAAAAAAAAAAAAAAAAAAAAAAAAAAAAAAAAAGAAAAGAAAAGAAACAACAAAAAGTTGCCAGGAGAAAATTTGTTCTTGGCTTTAACACACCTCTCAGAGTGGATCCTCTCTGTTCCTTTGTCTGAGAAACGTACAATGCCCTGGAGAAAAATGATGAGCTTCTCAGAACACTGATTTTACTCCACAAGAACTTGCTCACATATTGTTTTATGTATTAAAATGAAGGAGGTTAGCATGGTGGCTTATACCATTACCCTAATGCTTAGGAGGCTGAAGCAGGAGGGTGGTGAGTTCAAGGCCAGCCTGGACTACATATTGAGACTGTTTCAAAATAAACAAAACTGAACAAAGACCCCCATCAACAGTGACAGAATTAAGGACTATGTTATATATTACAAAATACATTTACAAAGAAACAACTAAGCTGTTTTTTTTTTTTTTTTGAGTGTCAACTGCAGGCTACACCCCACCCCCATGCCTGTTAAAGTGTATCCAGTTGTCCCTCTACCCAGAAGCTCCACAGCCCTGGCCTGTATCAGGCATGTTGTGTCATCGTCTGTGTTCCCCCTCACCTCCTGACACCCCCTTCCTTTTTGCTCAGGGTTGGAGAGCCTCACCAGGTGAGACTGTAAGACCCACCCCTGGGCAGGCCTGTGCCTGGTATTTCTTCCCCTAGCCTGGAGCCAGCCACCCTGGCTTATTTAGTTTTTCTTTGGTGCTGGAGATTGAACCTTGGGTCAGTTTTTGTAGTGAAGGGGAATCTTCCAGGGTTTCTCAAGTGCTAGATTAGCAATCTTCCCCTGAGCTACCACACTCTGGGCCTGACTCTGACCTTTGTGCTGTGTTGGGGCTGAAGCCCAGGGTCTTAAACATGCTAATTGCTTTTGGTTACTTTTCTCATTGCTATGCTAAAATGCCCGAACAAAGCAATTTAAGGAAGGCAGGCAGGCTTTATTTTTGACTCAGTTTGAGTGTGTAGTTCACCATGACAGAGAAGGCATGACAGCAGAAATGAAGCAG